GGCTCACGCCTGTAATCCTAGCACTCTGGGAGGCCGAGGCGGGCGGATAGCTCAAGGTCAGGAGTTCAAGACCAGCCTGAGCAAGAGCAAGACCCCATCTCTACTAAAAAAAAATAGAAAGAAATTAGCTGAACAACTTAAAATATATAGAAAATAATTAGCCGGGCATGGTGGCGCATGCTGGTAGTCCCAGCTACTTGGGAGGCTGAGGCAGGAGGATCACTTGAGCCCAGGAGTGTGAGGTTGCTGTGAGCTAGGCTGATGCCACGGCAGTCACTCTAGCCTGGGCAACAAAGTGAGACTCTGTCTCAAAAAAAAAAAAAAAATGAAGTTGGACCCCTACCTCACACCACATGTAAAAATTAACTCCAATGGATCAAAGACCTAGACCTAAAAGCTAAAACTATAAAACTTGTAAAAGAAAACATAGGCATAAATCTTCATGACCTTGGATAAGGCAAAGTTTTTGTAGGTATGACACCAAAGGCAAAGGCAACACATGAAAAATTGGACTTCACCAAAAACCTTGCACTTCAAAGGACACCACCAAGAAATGAAAAGACAACAACCAGAATGAAAAAAAAAATTGAAAGTCATATATCTGATAAGCGACTGAATCTAGAATATATAAAGTGCTCTTACAGCTCAACAATAAAAAGACATATACCCAATTCATTTTATTTTTTCACACTATAATATTTAATTAAGTACAAATAACTTTTTAACATGTTATTATGTTGCATGGAGACCATTTCACCACTGCTCTGTTTGGCTGCCAGTCTCTTACCCCTCTCTTCAGCAATGGTGAGGCGGATACCTTTTCCTCGAGGAAGAGAAATCCATGGTTTGTTGCCTTTGCCAATAACGAAAATGTTGGAGAGGCGAGTGGCAAAGCTGTTGCCATTGGCATCTTTCACGTGAACACATCAAAGACCCGGGATGTCTTTCTCTGTTGGTGATCACACCAATTTATCTCTTTACTGCGCCCAGCCAATTTATTTATTTTTTTTGTAGGAACAAGGTCTCACTATGTTGCCCAGGCTGGTCTTGAATTCCTGGCCTCAAGCAATTCTCCTCCTTTGACCTCCCAAAGTGCTCCAACTTCCTCTCAGAACCATTTGTTAAAAAGACTATTCTTCCTCATTAAATCATCTTGACAGTTTCCAATTGACCATAAATGTAACTGTTTATTCCTGCACTCTCAATTCTATTCCATTCTTCTGTTTGGCTATCCTTATACCAGTATTGCCATCCATACTGTCTTGATTACTATAGCTTTATAGTAAGTTTTGAAATCAGGAAATATGAGTCTTCTAACTTTGTCTTTCTTTTTCAATATTGTTTTGACTCTTTTGGGATTCCCCTGTGAATTTTAGAATCAGCTCCTGTCAAGTTTTGTGAAAAGGCAGCTGAAATTTTGATAGTGGTTGTGTTGACTTTGTGGATCTCTTGGGGAATTTTGCCATTTTAACAGCATTAAGTCTGGAACCTGGAGTACTTTTTATTGGGTGCATCACTTACTCAGCACCCCTCCCCTTGTCATTGAGTGTGCTGAATAGATACTCCAAGGCCCTTCCATCAAGCTCACAGACAAACAATCCAGGGACATACACGCACGTCTCTTTTCCTTGTTGAAAACAGTGACGTAGTGTACTGCAGTGTCTAATTTAAGGCCAGAGACCTTGGATAAAACACTTACCTCCTGAACTGGTGAAGTGGGAGTGCGCCTGGCATGGGGCACACATAGGCAGAAGTGGCCGCAGGTGGGATGGACATCCCTCAGATGCCCCCGCACCTGCCTCCACGCCACGAGAAATGTGTGGGGCATTGGGTAGTGATGGAGCCAGCCTCCATTTTAACTTGTTATATCTGTTGGATGAAGAGAGAAGATTTCATTTGAGGAAAGGATTCTGCTGCTAAAATAATTTTTCCCCCTGGCCCAATTCACTGGCATCATAGTTTGAAGAATGGAATAAAAATAAGAAAGGAATAATATCACATATTAAAACTTAGTTTATACCCCTACACATACTTTTGTGTTTCAGGTGTAATGTTTTGGCACAAATCCATGACTTTGTCCTCAAGGAAGAAGAAATAAAAAGTGAAGTGCCTACACGTGAATCACTAGGAGCCTTGTTTCCCAGACTTAAGGGCCAAGCTGGGAAACCACACCCGAAACTGCAGACCCGTGCACACCTCAGCTTACTCTCAGCTAGGGTGAGGAGCTTCCATTTTAAACAGAAACTTTGTGTGTGTGCACGTGCATGTGTGTGTGTGTGTGTGTTTGTAGTTATCACTGTTTTCAAAAAAGCAGTTTATTTTTTATTTTTTTTAAAAGCAGTTTTATTTGTTTTTAAAAGCTTTAATTTGGGCTGAGTTTTTAGCTTGTTTCTGAGGGGAGGGGAGTTATATGCAACAGAGATTATTTTGAGATCTTCAAAATCTAAGATCCTTTGGCTTAGCTGATTCCTTTACACAAGCTGGTAGAGCAGGCGAGTCATGGGATTTTGTTTCCATCCTTTAGCGAGGGGTGTGTGCATATGTGCGTGCACATGGGAAGTTAGGGGAAAAACACAACGATGCAACCTAGCTCCAGAACAAGGAAGCATGTTACAGAGTTGAGGTTTGGCGCTTGGCTCTTGCCCAGTCTCAATAGGTGCCGCTTAGCTGACCTCGCGTGACCTTTCTCTGAGACACGTCTCTCGAGGGGTTGGGGAGGGCTGCTTCTCTCCAGCGGCTTTAATTGTACGCAATCCCTGTGCAGCCTTGCAAACTCAAGTGGTTTTCTTAACAGATCACTCACATTTCATGTGTTCTGGGCTGGGCTGGGCAGGGCCTCACTAATCCTTGGCCAGCATTGTGAGTCAGAAAATATTTAAATGACCTCCTGAGTCTTTTTGGAGGAGAGAGAGTTGGCAAGTTAATTTAGGGAGGTGCAGTGACTCTTAAACAGCACTGTGGTAAATGAGTGGC